GTTCTAAAACGTATTGAGGTTTTCAGCTGGATTCAGTTCGGGCTCTGTGTTGGCCAGGGCAGGTTGTGAATTTTACTTGTATAAAGCTATTAGTAGACACAGCAATTTTGTTTATGTGGCAGCTAATGATTCATTATAAAGCTGAAAAATTTCATCACTGGAAAAATACAGAATAACACAATATAACAAGACTTATGATTTCCTTAACTATTATTCATGAGCCAAGCAATATCAAAGTAATTTCTTGATTACAGTTATAATCAGGCCCACCCATCCACAGTAAGTAATGAGGAGCAAAGTGTATATTCACCATAATGGGTTTTCATTTTTTGTTACATCACCTTCGTTATTAGAAAAACAATATTCGAAGCCTTCGATTCACGAGTAAGATAAGTGGCTGATGGGCTGCAGTCAGTCAGTCGAATCCAGCAGTTTAGGGCTCCTTGGACATAATAAACGTGTTGGCTTGTCAGAGTTGAGAATAATGGATTCGACGCTAGGCGTATATTTTACTTTTACAATGTTTGCATGAATTGATAAGCGATTAATTTCTGGTAGCTTCGCTAATATTGCAGTTTATTCTATTTGAGTATGAATGAGTTGAAATGTCTTAGGCTCTCATATAACCAATGCTCATTCAATAACTGTTGTTCTTTGAAGCTCCTTTCCCGATTAATGCAGCTTCTAAACTTTATAAACCCTTCAGAAATGTCCACTATGGAACTGAATAGAAGATCAGTATGGAACTGAATAGAGAATCAGTAGGGATTGCATGATATTAACTTGGAGTGTGGTTGTTTGTTTGTTTTAGAGCAAAGCAACGTTGACCTGTCTGCTGTCCCTACTGCGGGAATCAAACCTTAGATTTTAGCGTTGTAAGTTCGTAGACTTACCGCTGTCCCACCGTCGGTTTTTTTTTGCCTGAATAGTTTTGTTAATATAGTTTATATCCGTGTTGTAACAAGTATTCTATTATTTACAGTGTAATCGATCTTCCAATGGCTCAGTGATAAGTCTGAAGGCTATAAATGCTAAAAATCGGGTTTCTCTACAACATAGATAACTAACTGTGTAGCTTTGAGCTTAACAACAAACAGTATAATCCACTTGAAAAGTCTTTACACCTTGTTTGTACTGCTATTATAAAATAATAAAATATAAATTAAGTTACTGAAATTTAAACTTCTTCTTCGACTCAACGATTGAGTTAGTAATCATTTGGTCTCCGTCAAAGTAACATATATAATACTTCTATTTGAAACATGCGAAAAAGCGTTGCGCGTAATTATTTCGGATACGTACACTAAGTCTGATAAAAATCCCAAAGCGTTTGAGTGAAATGACACAAAACAAAGTGGAGTCAACACTCAATCAAACTTTCCTTAAATGGTTGTCAGTGAACTATAGCATTTTCTATGATTTTCTCTCGTTTTACCATATTTAACCGCTTTTTCTACAGCAGAAGAGCATATTGTCTATGTGGATTCTCTGTTTGTGTGGTAATTTTTGCTATATATTTTCAAAGCCAATGGCCCCCAAGTGGCACAGCGGTATGTCTGCGGACTTACAACGCTAGAAACCGGGTTTCGATACCCGTGGTTGGCAGAGCACAGATAGCCCATTGTGTAGCTTTGTGCTTAATGACAAACAAACAAACAATCAATCAAAGCCAATTAAACAGACTGTTTATGATTTCACAATATAATCCTTTGTTTTGTAACTTCATATTCATTAATCTTTTAGAAGCTTGTTTGTTTGTTTCTTTGTAATTACAAGATATCTTTGCCACTGGGGGGGGGGGGGCTTTTAGAAGCACGCAAAAATATCTTGTGCGACACTTTTAGGCGTATACTATAAACATGCAGATTACTCCATATTAAAATTTATCATGACTAAACAGCGATATACAACTGCAGAAGTAAAATAATGTCAGAGTAGCCCAGGATTTCTTCCTAAACTTCTGTAAAAGCATACAGTCATGCTGTAAATAGTCTCCCGGTGTGTCAGCGATAAATTTGTGGACTTACAACACTAAAATCCGAGGTTCAGTTCCCCACGGTGTACAGAACGCAAATAGTATATTGTGCAAATTTGCGTTAAAAAACAACAGCGACGCTGAAAGTATGCACTAGTCACACAGTCACATGCCATGTGATCAACACAGCATACAATGTCAATAAATCTTTGGAATTCCCTTTCAGGTGCATGATATGCGCGGCCAAAGCAAGTGGGAATATAGGGAAAGAAGGAGCTATAAGACTGTTGTCAGTTCTCTCAGCTCTGAATTCTATGATTTCACGGCATTACGCGCACATACAATTTTCATGCCGAAGGCTCTATAGGACGTAACTCAGCATAAGGTTAAGGTGCAACGTTTTTGCTTAAATTCAACTCAGTTCCACTTAATTAAAATAGCTGTCAAACATCAGATGCGTATAGCCATTTATAATGGCGAGTCTTACATCCACTATGACTCTAACAGTAGAATACACCTGGAGGTATTTTTCATTACATTTCTTTATGTTCAGCTATATGATAGCGATATTTTTTTCTTTCTAATTTGAATTTCTTTATATTTTTTCTACACATAACATTCCAGGATTTAACGATAAAATTTAATGAGATATTCATGGAGCGATACTTATTAGAAAGTAAGTAATAAAACATTTAATTACATTTATTGGTGAAAATGTGTATGATTAGTAATTTACGGTAGATATTAGTTAACATTTGTAAATTTTCTTGTCACTGAATCACAAAGGCAAACAGCTTATTTTCATATTTTGTGTATATTCATAAGGATGTTTCGCATTTTGTGTAGATTCATATGGATGGTTATGCGGCTTTCAACACTGGCCCACGAACTTTGACCTTCCCCATCAAGTTTCCTTTACAGATAACCGATACTCATCGAGAGAAAGATCCTTCATTGATTGCTCCATGGTTAAGTTTACAAGACATTGCTACTGAAGCCGGTGATGGTAAATTCATTCTTTCTTTTTTAACTTTCTGATGTTATGACACTCTGAAGTATTTTGCATTTCATGTAGATTAAGAAGTAAAACTAAAAGGTGATACGACTTTTGATGAGTTTTCTAACCTCTTCCGCCCTTTAATTGATTTAGTGCCATCTGGAAGGTAGGAATCGTAATTGAAAGAAAACCAAGACCGTGTAACTCCAAATAAGTTCCGAAACATCTCTGTATTTGTTTATTGTAGCGCAAAGCTACAAAACAGGCTGTTTGCACTGTTAATCAAAGGGGATCGAAGCTACAAAACAGGCTGTTTGCACTGTTGATCAAAGGGGATCGAGCTCCATATTTTAGCGTTGTAAATCTATAAACTTATCGCTGACCCACTGGCGGAACCCGAACCACCTCTAACTCTTGTATTATCTTTTGTGTATTAAGCTTGTATACACCCTTGAAACACCCTCAAAACATTTATAGAATAACAAAGAAAAATGTTTCATGGAGTTATAAAATATTTATCATTTATTTCGATCATGAGTTCTCTGATTATATCTCGACGTCTTCCAGAATTGTAATGGTCATTGATGCCTTAATGGCTGATGCTACATTTAATGTATACACCCTTGAAACACCCTCAAAACATTTACAGAATAACAAAGAAAAATGTTTCATGGAGTTATAAAATATTTATCATTTCTTTCGATCATGAGTTCTCTGATTATATCTCGACGTCTTCCAGAACTGTAATGGTCATTGATGCCTTAATGGCTGATGCTACATTTAATGCGTAGTACTAGAAAATTACAAACGTTTGTATCAATTTAACGATGTGGGGTTTATAGCACCGACAATCCCGAATTTTTTATGATATTAAGTATTTAAGTTAGTTTCTGGCCACTACTGAAAGGGGTACAACGTTAAAATAATTGCACAATAAGTCCTGAGAACGGTGGCGTAGAACGCCGAAACATGTATTCTTTTTTGGGGCTGAGTCCTGTTTCTGATAGATTATTTATTGTACAATTATTCCAATGTTGTACTCCGTTTAACTGTATACATACGTACAAGTATCGTTTCAATTTATTTAGTTTTTGGATCTTTAAGCAATAACTCTATTATTTTTATGGTATTAATCAAAAACAATTCTAGTCAACTATTTGTGTGAGAAGTCAGTGTTAAAGTGTTATATTATGAATGAGTTATATTATTGATTTCAGTTTATCTGAAGATATCTTGTTAATTTATTATTTACATGGGTATAATTAGCTATTAAAAGCATTTTACTTATACAACCTACAACCACATTTTATTGAAGAAAAAAACATAAGCGAATGAAAAAGTTTTGTTGTTTTTTTCTTTGCTTGTTATTGACCCAAAACTACATAATGGGCTGTTTGTGCTGTGCCCATCACGGGTATCAAAATTCAGTTTTTAGCGTTGTAAGTCTTCAGTCCTACCCCTGAGCTACTGGGGATGGGAAGATTATATTTTAGGTAGATCAACTAATTGTTTTCTTTCTGTGTAAGATCCGGCATGGCCAGGTGGTTAGGGCACTCGACTCGCAATCTGAGGGTCGCGGGTTCGAATCCCCATCACAGCCGTGGGGGTGTTATAATGTGACGGTCAGTCCCACTATTCGTTGGTAAAAGAGTAGTCCAAGAGTTGGCGGTGGGTGGTGATGACTAGCTGCCTTCCTTCTAGTCTTACACTGCTAAACTAGGGACGGCTAGCGCAGATAGCCCTCGTGTAGCTTTGCACGAAATTCAAAAACAAACAAACAAACAAACTTTCTGTGTAACTATAAAAACGATGGACTGTATTTAAAGGAGATCAAAGTACGTGTTTTCTTTCTGTATAATTATAAAGATGCTGGACTGTACTTTCGAGAGATCAGCATCGAGCAGGAGAATAATGGTACTTTGAAAGAACGGATTATTCGTGACTTCAAGGAAGGAATGATCGGAGCTAATGACTTTTATCCTAAACACTGTGTCATTGTTACTTGGAAAAATATGACCTGGCAAGGATATACCAAAGCACAGGCCACTCAACTTAAGGTAAGAATCTAACTCAGTTTACAAGTTCTAGAATAAGATCCGATAACAGAACTTTATCCCTGAAATGGAACACACACATTATGAATTTTTCATCACACAGTTTAGATGTTTATTACTACAACAACATTCTAAATCTATGTAAAACAAAAAAAAAAGTTATCATTTTCGGTAATGATGTCATCAAATGTGGGTTCTAACCAGTGGCAACTACAATTGCGAGTTTTTATAATCCTGGCTATGAAAACAAATATGGGTTCTAACATTACGAATAATATTCAATCGTTTTTTTGATTATATTTACGATATAAAAAGTAGAGCATGCTGATCAAAGTAACATACTCGTGACCTCTTCCAACCCATAACTACGATATCACGTGTAGATTTTAACTCTACTATCAACATCCGTTATATTGAGTTTGCCTGACCCTAGTTACAATAGCAACTGTAGGTTTTAACCCTAACAACAACATCCATAAGTGTACTTAACACTAGTTTTAATATCAACAACATACATTGGTTATTCTGACTGTTTATGATATCAAATGTTGGTTCTAATGGTAGCATCAATATACACTTGTTTGTCTCACTCTTTGTACATGATGCTCTTACATAGATACAACATGCATACATATCTTGGAGCTATAATTAGCTACATATTAAAACAAGGCTTAATATTATAGTGGCAGCACTACTGTATAACATGAATGGAAAGATGTAACCCACTTAAACTATCAAGATGGGATTGTAATAATACTGCTTTTAAATTGTTTATTATATATACAGGTATCATTAAGAGCTGAAAATATGTGGATTTTGTAAGATTTAATTTTGCTTGTGAATTAACTAGAGATTTTTATGTTACAGACTAACACGTATCAGATGGTCATTGCGACAGATGAAGTAAGGACATATGTGATGTTCAACTATGAAAAAATTGAATGGATCACTCATACAGATAAAAATGAAGGAACTAAGGGCGATGGCGGAGTTTATTCTTACGTATGTACTTTATTTGAACATAAAAATAATTTTATTTTCATCGGGGAAATTGAATGCAGTTTCTCTTGTAAATATAGGAATTAATGCATTCCCAATGGCTTTGAAAGCAAGTTTTTCCAGTAAAATTGATAGAAATAAGATTGATTTCTATGTGAGACTGGTTACATAAAATTGGTTGAAACACAGCCCCCAAACCCCAAACACCCACCTCTCTTCATAATGAGCAGCCTAATAGAAGTATTTGTTTATTTAATAGTTTGTATAGAAGATGAGCTATGTCAAACAATCATTTTAAAAAAATGGCAACAGTAGGAACACATTACAAGAAATCCTATTACGTTATGCAAGTTCTGTTGTGTTGGCTAATTCTGAGCAAGTTAATCTTGGCTGGGATCGTTATAATGGGGGCGTTATAATGTGACGGTCAATCCCACTATTCGTTGGCAAAAGAGTAGCCTAGAAGGTGGGTGGTGTTGACTAGCTTCCTTCTCTTATAGCCCTTGAGTACCTTCGCGCGAAATTCAAAACCCATGCTCTAGAGTCTAGGACAGTAAATAGATGTTTCATTTTTGTTCACACTAACACTTCTCACACCTTTACACAACATACTAAAACTTCTTGGAAAATAATTTACAATGAAATAATCACCTGAGGGTTATTGACTTCAAAAGTATCGTAAGTAATCTTTTGCCTGAATAACCTCAAAATTTTCGAAATTAAATATCATCTAATCAACTTAACTTACATATGAGCAAAGAAAGGTTGAATGAGAGCCTAATTTGGCAGTAAGGGTTCACACTGCATTGTTAACATTATAATCTGCCTTCATGATCTATCTGTACACAAATTTTACAATAAATGATAAAATAGTGAATATACCTGAGCAGATACAGTACCTATACCAAAGTGAGTTTTCAGTTCTCTCTCTCTCTTTGTGTAAAATCCTCACTTTGCAAGATTATTTAACGCCAATACCAAACATATAGAAGCAGCAAACATTTGCATAATACTGAAAAACTCTACAGACTAATTGTATGGAAAAGGTCAAAGGCCTACTCTTACGGAAACATAACTTGAAAAGTTATTTATATTTAGTTGAATGTGTGAGCGTTTACTGAATGGCAGTTTCTTCTAAATATATTATGTTAATTGTGTTCAGATATTAACTAACGAATTATTCTTATTGATATTTGCATTTAAGTACCTTAATCGCTAAACTATAAATAATATATATTTTAATATGACCTTTACTAACTCATCTGTCAGTTTTCTTTTATTTACGAGACATACTATTGTAATTTATTTTATAATAGACGTAAAACCAAAACATTCTAAAGATTTGATATCCAAACTTCACTGAGAATTAAAATTTCAAAGTATTTTTAGAATATAATTTTGAAATATATCTAGTCCATCGTAAAAAAATAACAACAACAAATAAACCTGATCAAATACTCGTATAAGTTGGCAGTTTTGAAATCTAGAGGCTTAGATTCTGATATTTAGTAAAATAGTTATTAGTCTTATTTGTTCGAATGAAAACTTATGAACTGAACACAACGTAACACAATAACTTTCCTGAAATTCATATTTATAAAATTTATTTTATTTTTGTGTTATTAGACACAAAACTATATAAAGGACTAATGTTGCTTTGTCTACCATGGGTATCCAAACTCGATTTTTAGCGCGATAAGCCCACACATTTACCATTGAGTTGGCGGAAGAGCGAAAAGTTATTTGAAGTTTGGAATAAAATGTAAAACAGTTTCGCAAATACAAAATACATATTGTTACGACAGCGGAAGTCACGTGACGCTAGTAACACGTCATGAGTTTCTAGAAGGATCATGACTGTTCCTGGCAACTCTGGTGTTTGCCAGACGCCCTCTATTTTTGTATATAAGCCCGGCAAATAAAGCGGAGATGAAGAGTGACGGCATAATAATTGCAGATAGGGAGACATAGAGACAGATAATTGAGTCAAGTGAGCGGTAGTGACTGTAAGTAAAGTACGTGAATCGTTGTGAATTATAGCGTGTTTTGAAGTTAAAGTGACTATGGAAATTCTGTGTATTATAAAGCTGTATCGAGAAATAATAAACTAGTTTTAATTAAGAAAGAACTTGTATCGCTGAAGTTTCTAGGAAAGAATTTTTACGGGAAATTAACAAACGAGCAGAGACATAACAATATATATATATATATATATATATAAACTAATACCATTTATTCCATTCTATTCCCTTTAGTTTTCAGTAATATACATTTATATATGTATTTATCTATACCTGCCCGTCGTTGTTTTTTATGTTTAGTTTAAATTAGTTACTTAAATTTCAATTTACTTTAGCAAAGCGATAACAAGAAAGAAAAAATTTCACGATCATCTTAGTGGATCACTGTGTACGTAGTAAAATAAAAATATACACAAAATCTATAAATTCATTCATTTGTGATTTCAAAACAAAACAAACACACTTGTGTTGTTAAGTTCCAAAGCTTTTGTTGGTCTTTAATAACTTCGTTTTTCTATACTAGGTTGGATTTAATGCTGGAAATACAACCAGAACTTTTGAATTCCGCCCTTTTTCACAAGATCCAAGGATCGCTACACTAGTGAATGAAGGATATGGAAATGGTTTGAATGGGCGCTACGTTTTCCAGGTGGATGAGGAAATTTGGCCTGGTGCTTGTGTAAACAGGGGTTTGTTAGTCTTTATTATAAAATTGAAATGGTGGAATTGATACGCAATTTAGCTGAACGTTTTTGTTAGATATTGATATACTTTTTGGTTATATTGAAATTTCAAGAAGCAAATGGGTGAGATATAATGTTCACATCTTCATTTCAACAATCAATGAACCTTTTGATTTAACTTGGAATTTGATAAATCATGTTCACTGAGAATATTTATTATTTACAAACTAAAAAAACATTTAGCAAAATAATGATGTGATTTTACATCTATAAATATATTACTAAATTTTATAGAAATCTTATCAATGTTATTGTAGACGTTGGAAAAGAGAAAAGCTGTTACGAAAAAGAAAACGTGAGATATATGTATTATAAAATCATGTATATACATATATGTATATATACTATATGAGTTACGATCTTCTAAATAAATAAATTCTTGCTTAGAGCAAATTTCATGAAAAACAATTTGGCAATAATTTACTTTAAGTTTTTACCTCATTCACAGACTGTGGAATTCATTAGAAAACTGTCATAATGAGTTCTGCCTTTAATTTGTTTCATAAAAAGTCCTTCAAATGAAATTCTCGTTTAAGTTACATTATATGTATTGTGAAACAAATACAGGTATGTTATAATTGATTTATTTTATTGGACATTTGATATGTACAAATAAAAGGTAAGCTTATGTGTCAGACCCTTTTTGAATATAATATACTTTGCTTCAATAAATATTCGTTGAATGAATGCTTGTACATGAAAATATACTATTTAGTACTGATTTTCTTCAAAGTTTTTATAAACTCATTTTTGTCATCCACAACTCAAATAGATGGTGACATTAATTTAAAAGTATGCAAACGAGTTATGCTTTCAAAAATATTTTAAATTATGTCTATGGAAAGGTATTATCTTGTTTGGTTATCATTATTCTTATAATTTCTATAAATATGTTAAAGATTATGTTGATAAGTTCAATATGAAATGATACATTTTTATATAGACAATATTTTTACCATATCATTTATTTAAGTACACAACAAAATACATTAAATTTTATTGATACATGATTCAGTTTTGAAGGTGAACTGTAGCGTGTCTTTCTCAAAGTATTAAAAATATCCAACAATTTTTCTATATTTAATGATTCTTACTTATTTCTTTTTTCACAGAACTTGACCCTAACTGGAAAGAACGAGTTAGGTTGACCTTTTTCCCGCGTTATGGGAACATGCTGGGAGGTACAATGGTGAACGTAACAGGCCCTTGTTTAAAACCCAACTCTGTAATTACCTGCAAATTTGATATCACTGAAGTTGAGGGGGTTTATCAGAGCCCCAATCATGCCACATGTATCAGTCCAGTAGTCATGTTTCATGGTTATGTAGACTTGGCAGTTCAAACAGACGGCAAGGGTTACTACTATTCTAATCGCTACTATGTCCGTAAGTAAATTACTAATAAACTTTGATGCTATTAATTTTCGAGTAAATTCATGAATGAAAACTGATTTGTGTCATAGTTACAGTTTTTTACGTTTATGAACCAATTTTATTTGATTTATACGCTAGAGGGCAAAAACACGGGCTCTCCTCCCTCTAATATGCAGATCCATCGAAACTACTTCTATTTATTATTTTTATGTGTATTTTTTATTTTAACACAAAAATACAAATTTTCGTATTTCTATCTATTAAACTAACAAGGAAAACTAACTGAGGAAAACTAAAGGCATAAAAACTTGGAAATATGTATCTGCATTGCTTAGCCTAATAATAGGTATTTCATAATAAACTAGATACGACACCGGGGTTCTGAAAACGCGCCAGGAGTCCCCATCCTGGAAGGGTCAATGTTCCAGTTGCGTCATGTCTCACTGCATATATTAACTGGTGGTGTGCTAAAACAAAATAATTCTAAGTTGATTCTCAAATTTAAAGCTCGATTGGCCATATCATATGATCTTCTCTTCTGTTTTGAATCATCATATTTTTGATTTATTTTTAGTTTACTGTAAATTTTATTATTATTGTACAAGGTAAATATTCACAAATACAAATGAAAATGAGGTGGGGTAAACTTTTAGATACAATATTTACTAATGAGTTGATGCTTTACAAAAATTCTTTCAAAAGCAATGAATAGAAAAAAGCTAAGAAAACTTAAGAACTAATGTTTTCTTATTCGATACGTATTTTTTGTGGATCGTTTTGACACCACTTTGTTACAACCGCTATTTTTGCACTTTTCTAACCCTTCAACTCTATTAAGGTCTTACGTATTCTTCTCAGGAATTGACTCGTATTAATATCTATAAAAAATGATGTTTATTACTATAAGAAGTACCACATAGATTTAGAACTAGGTTTTGTTTCTTACTGACAAAATTTCTTTCTTATTTTGCCTCTCTCTATTTCGGCTTATTCGGTCTCTCTCACATCTTCTGGTCTTTCTTTCGTAAAACGTCTATATATTATATCTCTTTCTCAAAAATTTGCGCTGAACGTGTCTCTTTCTTTCTGACTATGTACAACTGTTTTGGTTATAGCGTTTCATAATCATGGGGGTTCTTTTGTCTCCATACTGCTGAAGAAAAAAAGGCAGATGTCCCCTCTAATTTCTTAACGAGTTAGAGTGCTGTAATCCCTTAGGGAATGACCAAATGCCAAACGTTTTATCACTTCTCTCAACCCTAACCGATGTTCCTTTCACCTAACTTCATAACAGTATCATAATACACTTTGTATTTTTACATAATGCTCGATTTCCTATTGGTCTAAATACAGTACCCCCTTTTTTATCTTGCATTCGTATCTCTTGTCATACTCATTTTTTATAATACTTGTATATTATTTGCTCTTCTTTGGTATTATACTGTATTTCTTTTCTATCGTATTTTTCAAGTCATTATTATTTATTGCATTGTTAAGATAACAATACTTATTGGACTATTTCTACCCTTAACTTATACACTTTCACCACCCATTAATTAATTACACTTTATTCTGATATTGTTCCCTGTAGTGAATGAATTCATTATGGGATATGTTTTCTAACAATATTTTAAAATAAATGTATATCTGTGGATAGACGTATCATAATTTGGTCTGTATACCTAAATAACGTAGTATGGTGGACCATATTCCAAATAAGTAGCTTTATATAATTACAGGAACTAAAAACTGTATGTAACTTATTTCAATGTATATACACATAGTAATGCATTGTATTTTGATAAGCCTACTTGGGAACATTGAAAGTCAGCCAAATCAATATATAATTTATAATAATAATAAAACCAATTATTCTGAGGTTAATATCTCAAGTTAAAGTTTTGTTTATAATATTCCATAACAATCTACGTGGCTTAGAACATAATCCTTTCCAGACCTATTCCGAAATAATAATAATAATAATAAACCTATATCCACAATATTTTAGTTTCTAAGTTTTAGGCTTAAGCAGCATTTAACAGAACCTAAGTTTTAATTGTCTGAAGTTAGAATATTCTCTGTTTGACCTTAAAAAGTTTCAAAGCTTAAATAATTTGCATATACACAAGGCTCAGTCTGAATTTTTTTATTTAAGGCCAAGACATTACGCCTTGTAGACTATTAAAGCCATGATAATTATTATGTGTTCTATTATTGGACAGGTTCCTTTAGATTATTTGGTAAAAACAATATGGAATCCAGTGCTTGTAATGATAACGAATTCGTTTATTTCCTCCATAATATTTACTACAGACTTCATTCACTGGTGGGCCTAATTTCACAAACAGCATTTGGACAGAAATTGCAGGATTAATTTGACGCCTAACTCACTTATAAACTTACTTGCAGGTGTTCCTCATTAATCGATTGATAACAAACATGATGACTGACTCACTTTCTAAGTTACCAACTAAATCACAGAAGAATGGACTCACTGTATAATTCATTAACTCACACTGAGCTGATTAACTCATTAAATGACTGCTTTAATGGGTTTCATATTTATATTCCTACATTGTTTCTGTATACTGCAAGATATTTCTAGATTTATCTCATGCGAAATTAGTAAACAAGTATATAAACTAAAATATTATAACATATTCATTAGTGCCTGTCTTGATTTAGATATCGAATCTACTTTTAAATCTTCAAGTAATGTGTTCATGTATCACTAGACATGTCATTTTGTGCTACATTAATTATATACTTGCAGTGAGACAAGGAAGGCATTTGCCCACCCAAATAGTTTTCTTGACCCTTATTTGCCCCCGCCTCAATTTAATCCTAACATAGAGCGAATGTAATGTATAACAAGAAAACACGTTTGCATGCGCACTACAGTTTTAGGGGATGTTTCTTTTTTCTTGTATGCTAGAAGTCAACCAAATACATGCTACAATAATAGTTATTCCCTTTAACCCTACTTTTTCATACTAATGGTTCTACTTCAGAAAAATTGTTTATTTAATTAAATAATGATTCAAAGAACACAGAATAATAACATGCAAAAAGCAGAACATGTCCCACAACTATCATAATTTTTCTAACGACGTTAGTAATTAAGCAAAATTGGTCGATATGTTTCCCATAAGAAAGTAAGTAAAACTGAAACCGAAACTACAAATCTCTATTGGGGAAAAAAGAAATAAAAATAATACGCCATTTCAAAGGTGGAACCCTTAATTTTCTTTGGTTATACGTAATATAGGATTAAAAGTAAGAGAAAACTATTGACAAGTTCTGAAAGGGAGAATTGACATGTTGGTATGGCAAGAGAGGTCTGATTTTTTATATAATAAGTCAGTAACTGATTAAAATTGAAAGCTATACATATTATGCTTTGCCTAAGCGATGACAATATTATACTACTCCTGCAAAAGAGCTAACAAGAGACCTAGAAACATTCCCAGAAACATTGATAAATAAGGCCTTCAGATCGATTTTGCGGTAAGCAGTTGTGACAAGCACGGGCTTGTTGTGTACTAAGCTATCTTTGGTAATTTTACTTTGCGCCTCAGTACTTGTGAAGTTCTTCTACAAGTTTCTAGGTCAAGAGTTCGCGGATATATTTAAACAATAAATTTTACTGGTTGAAATTGTTACAGAAAATAAGACAAATCTTACCTCAAGCCATCTATATTCACTGTTTTGCTTATCATCTTAATTTGGTCATCGTAGAAAGTGTGAAATCTTTTTCCCCTGTGGCTGACTTTTTGCTAACATTTTAAAGTGATTACTTCCAAAGAAGAAAATACATGCACCCAAATGAAAAGCCTGTAGATAAAACAATGATGTAAACATAACGGGCTTGTCAGGTGCGTGATATAAGTGCAGTTGTAGCAAGGTTTGACTGTTTTATTAAGTTTCTGCGGTATGTTGTCATAAGTGACAGCAATCGAGACCGTTCATTAAATGCCCGATCCATTTTGGCGCAACGTAATCAGACATTCATATACTATGTGCTGTTTTTGAATGACATCTTGCGTGAAGCAAAAGGAGCGCTAGATATAATGCAAAGTTCCATGTTAGATTAATTAAAAGCAGCAGATCTCATTGAGAATCTTCTACCAGAGTTGTAAGCCTACAGATGTGACGACAAAGCTACACATTTTTTTAACTACCAGACATGACCTGAAATGTTGCCTTCGGCGTCAGTTACAGAGCTCCATGCCCTCAAACATGGACGACTTTGGAGTTCTAATCATACTTGGGAAAGGGGATGCCGTACGAGATTCATCTGATATGAATGAGCCATCTTGTTTCCAACCATTGATAATTTGCTTGGAGAACTAAACAAACGATTCAGTGAAGAAAATCTCCAACTGCTCTGCTCCCTGTCGGAAATTGACCCCAAATCTGAAAAATTCCTCGATTTTGAGACTATTAAACCTTTTGCAGCCTATTATAGGCTGAATCCTGAAGACATACGAATGGAAATGGGGCAAGTTAGAAGAATGAATGAGCGTTCAGATGCGACATTTGGAGCAGTCGAGGAGTTTGTGGAACATCTCAAACCTTTTACTGAACTTTACAAGGTTATAAAGATAGCACTAACTCTCCCAGCCAGCACAGCTGGTTGTGAGAGGAGCCTTAACAAGCTAAAACTGATCAAAAATCGCCTTAGAACCAATTTGGCAGATAAGAGACTGAAGAGTCTAACAGTAACTAGCGCCCACAGAGAATGCGCTCTTTCCATTGATTTTGATTATATTGTTAACAGGTTCGTTACCAAGTTTCCAAATAGAAGGTTAACGTTGGTTTAAAGTGTAAGAGGACGATTGTTGGTGTTTGGTAAGTTCACACTTTTGACCATTATGCATGAAACCACTTTTAAAGGGATTTGTCATATCCCCCCTAAAAAAATTCTAGATATGCTAGAATGGTCAAAAACCTTTTGATCCATTTCAACGTCTGTGAGTACTTTAGGGCTTCAAAACTCAATACAAAGTACTTTTTGAAACTAAACGGTGGTTCAATGTAATTTCGGAGGAGTAACGAGTTCCTTTAAAATTACACGTGAGTATAAGTTGTCTTTTTTTTGCTCCCCAAAATTTTGGCGTTTCCCCACACACACTAGATTTTTGGTGTTAGCGTCACCACCTTATACTTGTATAGTTGTACTCTTTAATATACCTATCACATATGACCCTGCTATTTCTAACATAGTCGAACACTGAATACTGATTTTTTATAACTATTTATATTCTAACATAGTCAATCACTGAACACTTGTTTTTAAACTATTTACACTTGTTGTAATTTTGTTCCCCGGTGGAACAGAGGTATGTTTAATGACTTACAACGCTAAAATCCGGGATTCGATTCCCCAAGGTAGACACAACAGATAGTCAACATGGCTTTGCTCTAAAAAAACTGCTTGTAATTTATTTTACCTCTTTCTAAACTAGTCAATCGCACTGAAATAAACAAAGCTACCACATTGATATATATCTGTTTAATACAGTTAAATTTCGGTAGACACAGAGTTTTTTAACATGGTCTTGCTTCCTTCATAAATGTTGATTTGAATGTAATTCACAATTGGCATATAGTACATTGCTTTTCTTAGTCGTGATTAATTTTAGAGAACATTCAACCTTTAGACAGTTAAATTTATTAAAAAATACAAATTTTCTGCTTCAAGTATGCTCTTAAATTTTCCAAACGCTTGAATTGCATAGCACGTTCATTGAAATGTGCCATTAAGAGAAGTAACAGATTCTTTTGGATTTGGACATTATTGTGTAGAGGTTAGGACTTTAATTTTCGTGAAAGTCCTTAATATTATACAAAAACAAAGCCTACTTTATTCATTTGTCTAAATGATAACAAAAATATTTTACTCTAAAATGAATAATCCATGTATATTCATGATAATTAGTTATATTTTAGAGATGAATAGATAAAATCCTACCAATTATTATTTACTAAGTGACAAATGATACTTTATTCTTGCTGAAAAATTTCTAGTTTTATGTATGTGCTTGTTTTTCGAGTAATTACATTTGACATTTTTCATTTGTTACTTTGGATGATTGCAAGGATGACAATCAAAATTTTCGAACGAAGTTAAACAATTCATTATAACCATACAAATTATTATTTAATGTACTAATTTAGGCCTTGAAATTAAATTTCAGTCGTACTATGACTATTCTAACAAAGTTAAACGAACCAAGTGCACATGATGAAACCGTACACATATGTAATTTCCAGACATAAAGCTAACATAAAATAAATTTGATTCCTCGTCTCAAAAAGAAAGTTGAGATAATAACATACATTTGGTAAACAAAAAACCGTTTTGTTTTGCTTTTATTTTAGCGCTAAAGTGTTTTGTGTGTATATAAGGAGTAATTGACATCCCTAAACAAATTGTTTGCTGATATAAAACGTCGCATATTTACTATTGTAGCTTTATATTTAGCGCAAAATACTGCTTTCTTGTTGTTGAAACAATTTTGGTGAATCTTAAACTAATATAACATATAATTATGCAAATACTTTTGTTATAAAATATGACACTGTGTCATTCAGGTTCAAGCAAAAATATTTCGTAAGCATTGTAATTCTAAATTAATATATTGAATTCAACTAAATATTGTTAGTTTTTTTTTGCTATTTCTTCCGTGAATCATAATTTGGTCCGAAATGTTTTTTTATGTGTGTTTTTTATTGTATTTTTTTTCGCAATTTAAAGAGGAAACAGACTGTTGCCTTTGTTCTCCTGTTCTGTCCTCACACTTATGGAAACGTGATTTTGTTTTTCAGAAACAATACCAAACACATTAAAATCATGCTTACATCTAATCGTATTCTGTTTACGTTGTTGAACTTTTACAGAGCCCCCTAACAGTGTAGCTCCAGATGTTCAAATCCTTAATAAAGAAATAGTGGAGGTGCAGCCTGAATCCTTAACTTTGAAATGGGAATCAGCGAAACTTAGTTGGCAATCAAAAGCTTCAGTTTCTCTTCATCTTTGGGGTTTTGAGTAAGAATATTTAGATTGATTATTAGGAAACAAATCATTCAATTTGTTTCGATTATTTATATCTTCTTTTTGTTTTTACAACTTAAGAGGTGTAACTCGTTTGTTGCCTTTATGAAAAGAAGTTTATGCAACTAAGATGTTAAGCATAATCTCAAGCACATTTTAAAAAAGTGTCTTGATATATTAACATATGCCGGAATGTCTTATTTGGTAATATTTTAAGAGATTATACAAGTGTATTTGAATGCAATATTGAAAAAGTTTTCTGCAAAAGCTTTTAAAATAACCATATTATTATTATGAGCCTGTTCCCTAGAGGTGAGACGATGACCGAATACACAAGCATAAAGGAACGTTAAAATACTATGTAATTTAGGTAATTAGTTTCATTTCAAAATACCAACTTTAGAGAAGCATATCGTAATGAACTTGAAGTTATTATCTCTGAAGTTATATAATATTTTGACTTTTTTTTCTCATAGAAATAACAATTTGTTTGTATAGAGAGAACGATCAAGAGCCTTCTTTAACTTATATATCGCAACTAAACGACGGTGAGACCATTTTAAATGACCAAGGAAAACGGTACATTATGGAAACATCTAAGTTCGAAAACAGAAGAGACTATGGCAAACTGAGATTAACTTTTGGTCTCATTAGTGTGAACCTCACAGACGCAGCTTTCCTGGATCGTAAATTCAGATCTTCGCCGTAAGTAATTTTCAAAAACGTTTGTTCCTTAATATTTAATAATTGGTGAAATAAAATATAAAATTATGTAAAAAATGTGCTCTCATTTTAACAAAAGATACAAATAATAATAATAACCTACTGACAATCTAAGAACAGTTCGTAGTTACGATTTACGTAAAAAAAAAAAAAAGATAATTCCCTTCCTACTTTTATAGAAAAAAAATTTAAAGCAGTGATTATAGAACTCTGCTGCATTTGAAACATACTATTGTGGAATATATTCTAATGTGTCTTTCACTACAATGAGTGTCTTTTTTGTTGTTGTTATGTGAGTAATGATTGGTAAAGTCTAGAAATTTCATGAAAGTTTAGACCTCCGTAGAATCTCGAAGCTTCTTGCAATTCATGAAAAACTATGGAAATATAAAAACGCCAAGCTGAGTGAATAATAGTTATTTAATAAGTTCAGTGTCAGAGTTAGACATTGAGTCAACCATTGTACTATTTGGAAAGAGCTACTAAGTGTTCATAATTATCTATATGGGTAAATATTTACACTTTGGAGGAGGCATGCAGAATTAAAGTGGCTAGCGAAGTTTTGCAGTCCAAAAGGCCATATGAGAAGATGGCTTCATAAACTACAAGGACTCGACATTAACATCATGCATCACTTTGGATGGAACCATATAAATACTGATGTATTATCCTGAAAACCACGAGTTAACGAAGAATGTAAACACTTTTAAAAGAGGCAACAATGAGATAGTAAACATAATCAACCTAAATTCCAACAGAGTATATACTTCAAGATGGGAGATCCACAAGTAATGATGAAGAACTAATGTGGTTCAACACTCAACTGAAAAATGCCAAGAAAAAATATGTGATATTGAAATACATTATTCAGAGGGTGAAGAATAGCGCAGAAAAGTATTTCTGGCAAACAGTTGTTCCATATTGCCCAAAGATACAAATGTACTCTACACAGTGAGTTTATCGTGTCTACGAGAGGGCTTGCTATGTATGAAATGTGAGGTTACCAGTGTACAGAATCAACGACTACCGTTTGTAGTTCCAGAGTCAGAAGTACTTCATCATGCCCACAACCTTTTGGGCCTGGCAAAGCCTGGTGGTTAGGGCGCTCGACTCGCAACCTGAGGACATCCCCGTCACATCGAACATGTTCACCCTTTTAATCGTGGGAACATTATAATGTGACGGTCAGTCCCACTATTCATTGGTAAAAAGTAGTATAAGAGTTGATGGTGGGTGTTGGTGTTGGCTAGTTGTCTTCCCTCTAGTTTATCACTGCTAAATTAGAGTAGGCTAGCGCAGATAGCTCTCATGTAGCTTTGTGCAAAATTTAAAAGAAACCAAACCACACCCTTCCAATATCTGGACACATAAATGTTAAAAATACACTAGAGAGATTTAGAGACTGCTTATATTGGGTTGGGTGCTGTGAAGCTGTAGAGAATCGTGTATTATGCTGTGAGAAAAAAAGGTGTGATTATCAGTGCTCTTGGTTCTCTGCCACAGGGCAACAGTAGGAATAAATACATTATAGTTTGATGGATTATTTCACCAAATGACCAGAACCAAATTCTAGCAACTCTAGAAAGTCTAGCAAGGAAACTCGTCAATGAATTTATTTCAAAATTTGGAATGTTTATAGAACTTCACTCAGGTAGTAGGTAGAAATTTGAATCAGCGTTATTTGCAGAAATATGACACATCTTTGGCACCAGAAAGACCAATATGACAGCCTTTCATTCATCTTCCAGTAGAATAATAAAGATATACAACCATATATTTTAAAAGCAATCAACTGTTTATGTGGATCTTTCATTGCTAATTATGAGTTATTAAGTGGCAGTACCTGAAGGTACATGCAACACACTATCACAACTGATATTTTGGAGAAAAAAAATGAAAGTGCCATTGGACCTTCTGTATTCACATCCTGAGGATAATCACTCAGAAAAGTCTTACACAAAATATTCAGAGAGACTAACAAACACTATTGACATCATACATGTCATTATTAAGGAAAGACACAAATCATCTAGTGATAAAATTAAATGGCACCACGATGTTAAAGGTGAAAATTTTGGATATCATTGAGGTGACATGGTATGACTGTAAATACAAATCCCATCACAAGAGAGGACAGACTCCAAAGTTAAGCAGGTGTTAGAAAGGACCATACAGAATAAACAAAATAATCAATTATATGACTTGCATAACACAAAAGGACAGGCAGTCCAAGCCAAAGGTCATCCACTGTGATCGTTTATGGAAGTACATCGGTGAGAGAATGGCCAACGGGGCAACTTCAAAGAAGAAGCTGTAAGCAGAAAGTCAATCTGTCGAGACTACTTTCTGAGGATCATGAAGGACAGTGCTACCAGTGGCTTAACTCGACCATCTACCAAAATAGAACTATCTTAGTGATAGGGCAGCAAGTGACGATAAGGGAAAAAAAGGTCATCGTATCTGAATGCCATAAGCCTTATAAGAGAAAACTACCAAAATGACTTGGCGAACAGACAGCTTAGACACAGTAAAATAATATATTATAGACTTTGCTATGTTAACTAAAATTTTTAATACCTTTTTCTCAACACCTTTAATTAATAATATAGTATTGTTTATTTGTTTCAAGTTAAGCACAAAGCTACACAATGGGTTATCTGTGCTCTGCCCACCATGGGTATCGAAACCCGGTTTCTAGCGTTGTAAGTCCGCAGACATACCGTTGTGCCACTGGGGGGTGGGCAATAATATAGTAATTATTGTACCAAATTGGGAATATTAATTTTGTTAATTCTAAATGACTTTATTTCTAATTATGGACTTCTAAGTTTAGTGACTGTTTCATTTCTGTACTAACATTGTTCAAGAGACTGCACAATCTATGAAGGAGAAAATATTGTGAGATATATTTTGATTGTTTCAATGTTTTTTGTTGTTTTTTGCTAGAGACTTTTTTATTTTATTTTACATGAGTAATGACTGGTGAAGTCTAGAAATTTCATGAAAGTTTAGGCCTCTGTAAAACCTTAAAGCTTATCGTAGTACATAGAAAACTAGTACCATATAAAAATGCCAGCCTGAGTAAGCTAGAGTTAGTTACTCAGTGAATGTCAGTTAGTGAGTTAGACAGTGAAAACTAGTGAGTTTTTTGTTTATAATGCAGCTAGTAAGTTAGTCAATGAGTCAGTCACCGTGTTTTTTTATTGATCCATTTCCGAAGAGTTACTGCAAATAGGTGACTTGAGATTTATTTGTGAGCTAAGCGTACATTAGCTACGGAATTTCTGTTGAAACTTCGTTTATGGTGTTAGGTCTTCTAGAGGGCGGCCTGTATAAAACGGTATTAAAGAAATTAATTCATTGTCGTTACATGTACTGGCCTTCGATTATTGTTACTGAATAATTCAATAGGATTTGCACAACAATAGAATACTTTACGATAATACTTTATATTTCTAGAAACTTAAAGGAAATTATAAAGATTGTGTTTTTATGTACATTAGACCTAAAAGTTCGATATAAAAGAGGATTGTTTGAATGAATTAAACAACACTAACACACGAAGACTACTTATATAGGTAATACTAAATGTAAAAACAAAAATCCTTTTAGTGCAGTTTCATTAGTAAATGAAATATAATTTCTTATGTCACATGGAAGAAACACGTTAAACTGCAATTGCAACTAAGAATTTTTCACAGAAATATCTTACTTCAATTAATTTTGGTCTTCCAGTGGGTCAGTGGAAAGCTAACGTGCTTACAACACTAAAATTTCGATTCCCCGCGCTGGACAGAGCACGAGTAGCTAAGATTGTTAATATATATACATATTTG